ATTAAAATTGTTAAAACCCTTCACATGCAGAGAGTTTTTTCTTTGTGATAAGTCCCTGTAGCTAGAATCATAAATAAGTACTCTCCCTAATAAATATTTTTAGAGAAAAAAATCTGTCTCTTAAGAAATATATACAAACGATAAATTAAATCAAATATTACCACCATTTAATAATTGTTATGATCATAAACTTAACACTTTGTTTATAAAAACCTTCATTCCAGCTAACACTTACATCTTTGGCTAGAACTTTCTGCATGATTCGGACCTCATCTGAGTCCGTGCCCCTCGCACGACCTTGTGTCCTACAAAGTAGAGAAGATTTCTTTATCTACATAACTGTGGCAAGAGAGGAGTACAAGAAACGCATCAAAATATTCTTACTTGAGGATAAGCTTGAACATCTGTAGGTTTTAACTAGAGTGAGAATATGGTTTCTAGCAAGCACTTTATAATTTGAAAAATCTTCATTTAGTATCAGAAGTTATCTTTCCTTCAAAATTTCTGTATACATGAATTAAAAAAGAAATTAATGTGGGAATGAATCAATTTCAATTCTGAAAACATCTAGATAATGTCTTGGATTGATACAAGCACACACTTCAAATATGTAACATTTTGCTTAATTTAAAAAAAAAATAACAAGAATACAAAACTACAACTTATTCTTCACCAGTCTGTTATTATTAGTCAGAAAAACAGAGGAAAAAAATTCACTATTCAAGCAATTATAGTTACTATGGAGTAAAAACAGACTTCACTCACTATTCAAGTAGCCATAGTTACTACAGAGTAACAATAGACTTCACTCACTATTCAAGTAGCCATAGTTACTACAGAGGGCTACTTGAATAGTGAGTGAAGTCTATTGTTACTCTGTAGTAACTATGGCTACTTGAATAGTGAGTGAAGTCTATTGTTACTCTGTAGTAACTATGGCTACTTGAATAGTGAGTGAAGTCTATTGTTACTCTGTAGTAACTATGGCTACTTGAATAGTGAGTGAAGTCTATTGTTACTCTGTAGTAACTATAACTACTTGAATAATGAGTGAAGTCTGTTATTGATAGTTACTACAGAGCAATAACAGACTTCACTCATTATTCAAGTAGTTATAGTTACTACACAGTAACAACAGACTTCACTCACTATTCAAGTAGCTATAGTTACTACACAGTAACAACAGACTTCACTCACTATTCAAGTAGCTATAGTTACTATGAGTCAGACTTCACTCACTATTCAAGTAGCTATGGTTACTACAGAGTAACAACAGACTTCACTCACTATTCAAGTAGCCATAGTTACTACAGAGTAACAACAGACTTCACTCACTATTCAAGTAGCTATAGTTACTACACAGTAATAACAGACTTCACTCACTATTCAAGTAGCTATAGTTACTACACAGTAATAACAGACTTCGCTCACTATTCAAGTAGCTATAGTTACTATGAAGTAAAAACAGATTTCACTATTCAAGTAGCTATAGTTACTATGAAGTAAAAACAGATTTCACTATTCAAGTAGCTATAGTTACTATGAAGTAAAAACAGACTTCACTCACTATTCAAGTAGCTATGGTTACTGTTGTTGAAAGGAAACAAATTAACTAATGACTTGAGAAGATATTCTGTTTGAATATGAAAATTATTTTGAATGATGAAACAAGTTTCTTACAGAACCAAAACTAATATGAATCTTTATATAATTGGCAAAAATATTTTAATACAAGAGCAACTGTTGAAGTGCATTCATGATTAGGGTTTTTGCCAGAAAAAACTAAATTGTAGTATTTACCCCCTAAATATTCAATAATTATAAAACAATAACATTGAAACAATTCAATCATAATTTTCCTAAAAGTAGTGATGAATAAGTATAAATTGTGTAGTCAACCTAATGCCTTGGATCAGAGAATATTCATTCCATTGTTATTTAAATCAGGAAAATTACACTGTGTTTGTTTTAAACAAAGGAGACGATTGCAATGCACTGTTGGCAAAAATGTTTGGGTTATGGTGCAATGAGTTCATTCAGCACAATAGAGCAATCAGGTTTGCTAAGTAGCCCCGGGAGATATTTCCACTGGATGCCACTGTTCCTTGTCATTTTATTGTGCACAAGAAAAAGACTGCTACTGAAGTCGGTACTTTTTGATAGTTGTCAATAGATAAGTGTCAAAGGAGAGATATTCAATTAAAATCAATGTATTTGATATGGTACAATAATACCAACATTAAAAAAACAAACACATACACCACACAACAACAAATATAAACTCAAACATGTTCCTCTCTATATGCATTTTTTTTTCCGTTAATACTCATATTTTCGAAAATTTCTTTTAATCAGTCAATAGAGAAAGTCATGTTTGTTTTATGAAATTCCCCTCGCAAAAAGAATTTTTGTTCTTAATAAGTTGTTTTTCTTCTTCCTTTCTTTTCCTCAGAATGACCATTCAACACATATGAAGACTGACGATAGATGTTGATTTTTAGGAATTGCAAAAGACGACATTTTTCTGTTATGTACTCTTGAAAAGAAGCATTTTTATAAATATATACATGATTGATTGTTCAGGAGATACAGTGTGTTAAAGATGCATCTGGGGAATAACAAGTTAATTTAGGGCTTTAACTAATAAATTTAATTTTTTTCACGCATCATTAAATTTACACCTAATTTATTCCACATTAAAGAAATGGTGTTACAGTTGCTTTCTTTTATTACTTTTACTAATCCTCCTCTACAGCCTCAGTGTTTGTTGATAGACCACATTCTTCCTCCTTCCCAGGCCAAAATAAAGATTTCTTGATGATCCTACTCTTGAACAACCAACATACAACTGTTTGTTTGTTTGTTTTGAATTTCGCGCAAAGCTACACAAGGGCT